GAGAGAGGGAACACAAGCAGGGGGAGTGGGAGAGGGAGAAGCAGGCTTCCCGTGGCCCAGGCAGCCCTATGTGGGGCTCGATCCCAGGACCCTGGGATCATGACCTGAGCCGAAGGCAGACGCTTAACGACTGAGCCACCAGGCGCCCCTAGAATGTCTTTATATCACCTGTTTTTCTTTTCTGCATTCTCTGCATCCCATAGAAGACCCTCAACTAGAGTGGTTAGGATCTGAAGTTGCCAAACCGGTCTTAGAAACTCAGAATAAGAACCAAATGCAGCCTAAATGATTCATAGCATTAAATCTGTTGCTCCCAGGGCACTAAGTAAAATTGTGAAGCAAGTAAATGTTTCCCACATCTCTCCCTTTCTCTTGTTTCCTCTTTCTGATTTTGCTGTCACCCCCCACCCTCTTAGAAAGACCCCCCTCCCCATCTTCCACCTTTTGTTCATCAGGCTTCTTTGCATTGAGGCTGATCTCAACCAGGTATAATCTTAATTAAATCAGTTGATGCTATTGTGTAAAGTGCTGTTTGATTCGGCCCTTTCTGGAATACTTGTGTGTGGCAAGAAATGCCTATAAACTAAAAGTAAGTGTTTGATTGCTTGCCTGGGGAAGTGGGTAGACTATTGTTGAGTAAGAGAGTAAGTTGGTGTGTATCCTCAGTGCAGTGGAAATTTTTTGAAGGGTTTCAAAGCCAGGGAGTGACTTGCAGAAGAGGGTAGGAGCCTATATTACGATGACAGTAGTAGAGATGACAATAATAAAATAGTAATTAACATTTATATATAACATAAATATGCCAGGCATTCCCCTTCACATTATATTAACTGATTTAATCCTTACTTTATAACAATCCTATGAAATAGGTACTTTGATTATTCCCTCTTTACAAATATTAAAACCGAGGCACAGGGAGATTAAGAAACTTGTCCATGACGAGTAAGTGGAAAACCTGGGATTTGAAACAAGTTTGGGTTATGAATTGTGCTCATAACCACAACTTTGTACCACCTGTCTCATGATGAAGATATATGGATATATTCAGGATATTTTTTGGAGGTAGAATCATCAGGACTTAGTGATGTACTGGATGTAGGGAGCAAAAAAGAGCAAAGCAGAAAAGAGTAAAGATAGCCTTCTTGATTTTGGCCTGAGCAACTGGGTGAATTAAATAGAGCTATTAAACAAAAATGCTGGTTATTAAATAAGATGGAGAAGACCGGGAGAAGAATAGGTTTAATGACAGATGTGGGAGTGAAAAGGAAATCAAAAATTCCATTTTAGCCATGTTCATTTTGAGATACCTGTTAGACATCCGGATGGAATTGTCAAGCCTGGAGCTTAGATATGTTTGAGCTAGCAATTGAAATTTGGATTTCGTCAACATGTAGATGGCACATGAAGCCATGGGACTGGATCGAATCCTAGAATATAGAGAAGAGAGCTGACAAAGAGGGCTTGAGGAATTCCAAGGTAAAAAGCATGGTTCTTTGTAAGGAAGAGAATATGGGTTTTGGTATTGGAAATACTGGAAGAGTTTCTTCAGGTTTTCTGATTACTTCCTTTTTTGTATCCAGTCTGCTGATAAACACATGGAAGGACATCTTTTTTCTTTTCTAACTTTTCCTTTTGCCTTTTTTTTTTATAGTTTCCATCTCTGCCCAAATTCCTCACCTGCACATGTATGTTGTCTGCCTTTTCCACGAAATACTTTAATATCTTAATCACAGCTATTTTTATTTTTACATGCCTGTTTTTCATAATCCAAAATCTCAACATTTCTGGACTGGTCCTTTGCTGACTCCTTTATATCTTGATCTTAGGTCATTTTGATCTTGTGTTCTATGTGTCTTGTTTTTTTGTGTTTTTTTTTTTTTATTGATTTTTGGACATTGAATGTGAAACAGTGCTAGAGACCAAGGTAAATAGTATTTATGATCTGAAATGGGCACGCCTCTTCTGTCAGCCCATGAATGTGAAGGGTAAGTCAGTCTAGTCGGGAGTCGGGTTGTAGCTTTTGCTGTTTTGAGTATCCCACTGGAAATTCCAATCCCGGGAGCGCTCCATTGCCATTGCCTCGTGCTTTGTGTAGGGCCTGGGGGCCCAGAGGGCCTAGCTCAGTACTTCTGTTCCACCCGCTGCTTCCAGCAGGTCTGTGTCCCTGAGACTGGATGCCCCTCTCTGCCTTTTCTCTTCTCTGCCGCCCCAGTAGATTGCTATTTCTTATTGTTATTCATATTGCAAGTCTCCTGGGAGGAACAGAGTGATTTCTTGGTTCTCCTGCTCCAGTCTCAGTATTAAGCAGGGCCTAAGCACCTTTGCCTCACTACTGAATACTTGGTCTCAGTACTCCCACCCCACCTCCAGTGGCATTTGAACTTCGCCTTTTATTAGTGCTAGGGCCCCCATATCTGTGGGTTTTCTGTCCCATCCCGAGCAGCAGATGGTGTTTATTTTGTGTCTCCTCTAGCAGTGGTGATGTTTTCCTGAGACTAGCCCAGGGAGGGTTTCTTGCCTTTCTCCTAGACCTAGATGGCTTTTGCCTCAAATCGAGAGAAGGGTCCACGATTCTATACAGTAAGTTCTATACAGCAGGCTCCTGTGGGTCTCCTGTGCTCGTGTTTTCTCACCAGCACCCAATGGATGCCTGTAAAGAAGAAATGATGAGTGGTTATGATCTCCTCTTTTCTCTCAGGTTTGCACATTTCAAACTGTCACATTAGCTCCTACCAAGCCTTTAAGAATCGGTTCAAAATCTAATTGCTTTTCTTCTTCTGCCCTTTTATGGCAGTCATCTCTGGCTCCTGTGCCTTGTCAGTTGTGAAACAGTTCATTTCTCCTGTCTGTCCTCAGAAGGACTTTCCGCCCTTTGAAATTCGGTTCACTCGGTTGCCTCGCAACCTCAGCTCGCTGATGAACTAAAAAAACACATAATTTTGTAGATTATCTGTTCTCTTATTGTTTTTAGCATGCTAAAAGGAAACAGCCCCAGTTGAATGTCTCGGTGTACCCTGTTGTTCTTTTTCTTTAAAAATCCCTTCCCACTTCCCCCTTGCCTTAGGGTAAGGCCTAACCCCCTGAGCCTGGCCTGCCAGCCCTCTGAGATCTGCCCTCTGGCCATCTCACCAGCCTCAACTTGCACTCCAGGTACAGAACCTTTATAGTTCATATCTGAGCAAATCGTACACGTTGTAGAAGAAATTGTCTATTTGTGGTTTTTAGGTGCCTAAGAATCCTCTTCCATCCTTTAATGGGTGTTTCCTTCTTTTAAGATGATTTAGGATTTTGTTTGTTATTTCTCTTCTGTGTATTTAATCGTAGATTGTGGTTTTTTATGTAAGCAACATAAGTGTTTATGTAAGTGAGGAAGGAAAGCTCCAACAAAATATTATTTACAAATTAATTCAGTTACTGATGCTGTCGCTCTTGGCTGCTGATTGAGATTGGCAAGAAAATAAAATTGTTCGGAATAGGTCTTGAAATCCCCATCTTTCTCTGCCAAATCCTGTAGCAAATAGAAGACAGGTGTGTGTCATTTATTCAGCATTTCACAACCAGTGTGTCCAGGTTGGTGTGCTAGATATGGACTCCCTCCCAGAGTGGGTTGTCTTCTGCCACGAGCAGCTTCCTCCCTTTATCTGAGGTGCTGTACAAAACTGACACTTAGCATTTTCTCTCTGTGCCACAGTATGAAAAAGTTTGGGAAGCACTGAACTCTGGACGATTTCTTATATCCTTCCCCAAACCTGTTAGGACTATTCATAGGTTGGGAGTAAAGTAGTTGCCGTGTATTCGTAATAATTATCAAATGGTGAAAACGTGCCAGGTACTTGGCTAACCACTTTACCTGTGCTCATTTCGTGCTCAAACCAATCCTGTGAGGGAGTTCTAATCATCTGTGGCTCTCACCCTGAGCTTATATGGTGAAGCAGCAGAGCTGGGCCATAAAGTCACGTTACAAAGTCCTACCTTCTGGGGCGCCTGGGTGGCTCAGTGGGTTAAGCGTCCGACTCTTGATTTTGGCTCAGGTCATGATCTCAGGGTCATGAGACCGAGGCCCACATTGGGCTCGCGCTGAGCACAGAATCTGCTTGTCCCTCTCCCTCTGCTCCTCCCCCTGCTCTCTCTCTCTCAAATACATAAATAAGTAAAATCTTTAAGAAAAAGTTCTACCTTTTAACCATTATGATTTATTCCCTACATTTTAAATCATCTGCACTAGAAATGGTTCATGATTTCTTCTCATGTTTTTCCTATACTTGAGCTTCATGTACTTGCTGAGAGGAAATCGTTTCTCATGGCTATATTAATGGATTCTTTTTTTTTTTAATTTTTTTTTTTTTTTTTTTGAGAGAGAGAGAGCATGAGAGAGGGGAGGGGCAGAGGGAGAAGCAGACTCCCTGCTGAGCTGGAAGCCTGCCGCGGGACTTGATCCTGTGACTCCAGGATCATGACCTAAGCCGAAGGCAGTCACCCAACCAACTGAGCCACCCAGGCGCCCGTTAATGGATTCTTCTGATAGCAGATGAATTATTGGAAAGTGACCTATTTGAAAATTATTTTTTTGTCGAATGTTATGGGAAAAACAGATGCCTCTCCAGTCAGCTAAGTTTTTCTGAGCACTGAAGAGGGAACCAGCACCCAACAGTAATAGCCGTTAGCACATGGAAGGCAAAGCATAGTGAAAGATGCACGATGCAGGGTAGGACAGTGGCTGCCCAGTGTTCAAGAAGTGCTCGGGTTGAGACATGCAATTTTTCTGGATTCATTCATGAACTGATAACGGTCATTGTTTATCGAACAGCAGTGCCAAAAAATGTCAGAGAGCAGATGGGTCCCCGGGTACTGAAATCGTTTATTTGAAATTAAAGTTCAGTAGTAAGGTAATCTGACTGCATCAATAAGTCCTTGTGACCTTACCGAGGATTCTGAATGTTGAATAATATTCTTCCATCATCTTTCACGTGGCATGGGATGCTGAGACACTCTTCTAGGAGCAGGAGCGGTCTCTTGCTACTCTTTTGGCTTTAGTTTGAGGTATGATGAATGCTTTGTTTAGAATTAAGAATATTTATATTTCTTTTTCTCTCTCTACTAGGTTGGTGATGTAGTAGAAGTACAGGCAAATGAAACCTTCCCCTGTGATCTTATTCTTCTATCATCCTGCACTAGTGATGGAACCTGTTACGTTACTACAGCCAGTCTTGATGGGGAATCCAATTGCAAGGTAACGGAAAGTAAACCTTACGTAAACATCTCGAGCTCAGGATAATCATACAGTACTGCTCCTGTCTTTTATCTTATATTTTCCTATTTGTGCAAGTTTTGTATTTGAAGGCAGCTTTTATATAATTGTGTTTGAACTTCTAAGCAATTACTCAACTTTAGGGAAAAAGTGTGGTATTCGGCGAGGAAAAGCCATGCCCCAAATAAAAGCCACCCCATTTTTTTTTTGTAGCACTGTTTGCATTTGATACTGACATATCCGATTCGATGTTTTATTTTGGCTTTTTAAAATGAATGTCGTTCTAGGCTTAAACTATGTAACTGTAAAAATAACTTCGTGTATTCTAACCGTCAGTCTATTTTTATTTTAAAAGTGGTGAATATTTTCTTTAAAAATGTTTATTCATGGCATATAGAAACTCTTACTTGGAGTAGTTTGATTGCTTTTTAAAAAAATACCTTAGGGTTTTGTTTGGCAAATGTTTGTTCATTGCAACTAGGAAGAATTATAAATGAGCTAAAGTAAGTTTGCTCAAAGTGGAGGATAACTTATTTCTGTGGTACTTTCTGGCAATCAGTTCTTGGCCATTGTCCAGAGCTCCACAGGGCATAAAGATGTATCCTATATATGCTGCCTTTAAGGAAGGGCACTAATGTGCTCACCTCTGTGTATATCCTTGAGGGCTTTTCTCTGCTTGTTTTTTCCATCTGGAGTCAAGAACCAGGACTCAGTATGTGAAACAGGAACTGAAATGCCTGTTAGATGACTAAAGCTGTACTTCAAGGGCATGGTGATGAATTAGTGCATTTAAACTGTTCAAAAACAAAGTTAAGTTTGAGGAAATGTCAAGATAAAAATCAAGAAATCTACCTAAAGATTCCCTAATAGGGGAAAAAGTTGTTTAGAGGAAGAAAACTTTTTAAGTGATTTCTTTTTCAATTAAGTTGATCCGATCAAATCAGCTAAAAGTGCATAGGTTTTCACAATCAGGGGAGAGCTTTAAATAGAGCTCAGGCAGTTCTGTAATATTCCCAGAAGACCACGCAACAGCTTTCCCTTCTGCGTAAGTGGTGCAGTCTTCGAGTCTGTGTTAGCCCTCCTTTGATGATTTATAAATGGGTTTATTGGAGCCTGCCTTGAGTTCTGGGGAAATCAAGTGCATAATATACACTAGTAGAATATCCCAACTGTCTGACTAAAGCAAGACACATCATATCACTGCTCCTCCTATGAAATGTAGCCTCTTTGAGCATTTTCAAAGTCATTAATTATGCTATTTTTGTAGTGGAACTATTAATGAGGCTTTTTCTTTCTATTGGCAAAATGTTAGCCTTCTTATGACCCGAAGGGTGGTTATTTATGTTCAATTCATGTGTATACATTGATATCACCATACTCTATGGTGAGAAAAATAACAGGTCTCAGTTCTATAAATAGAAGAAAAAGTAAATAGATTAAATTTTTCATTGGGTTTTCAGTTAAGGATATGCATGCTACAAATGGAATTTTGTCTGCTGTCACTATCAGGAAAAGCTTTTAGTTTTTTCATTACCTTTTAAATCCCTTTGCAGCAGGGTTATCTTTCTAATTATTTGTAATATATTTGAAGAATAATACCATAAAATTTAGTTAGTGGGAAATGTGCATCAGTATTTGTATTATTCTGCCAAAGCCTCTTACTAAAACATACTGTTACTGGAATAAGGTGGGTGTACGATTATGAAAAGAATCCCTTTTTCTTGGTTTTGCTTTTTCTTCTGCCTTTTGCATCTAGACACATTATGCAGTACGGGATACCACTGCCCTATGTACAGCCGAGTCCATTGATACCCTCCGAGCAGCAATTGAATGTGAGCAGCCTCAGCCTGACCTCTACAAGTAAGAATCACCTGCTCTTCGCCACCAGTATTGCAAAGAAACGCCCATCACTTTCCAGCCCTCCTTCATTCGTGTTTTTATGAGCTGTTCTTTCCTTCTGGCAGGGAAATGAATCAAATCAGCCTTGTTCACTACCAGCCTAAGATAAATCATTGTGGGCCCGGACACCTTACTTAGGATTTTTCTTTTATTTTTGTTATTTGTAAACATGACCATATATCAAATTTTAAGGTTATGTTATCCCATAAGGCTGCTCTATCAGATTCATGCATTAATCCGAGTTAATTAAAACATAAATAAACCACTTGATATGTCATCCAACATTAAAGAGAGGAAGGGGATATGGGGCCATGCACTATCCTTTTTTATGATGATTATGATGAACTGAGTATTGCAAATAGGCTGCTTTTTGTCTGCGGTAAACAGTTAAGTTGAGGGACCCATGAAATGGTGTAATTTCCCCTATTTTACTATTCTTAGGCTTTCTGGAGTAGATTTGCTGATTAACCATCATTGTGGGTTGTCAAAAATTTGGCATTTGATTTTTAAGACTGGTTAGTTTGGTTGATTAGAGCATGCTGTTAATGAGGCTAGAGTAACAAGTTTAATCCCCACGTGGGCCAATTAATCTCATTCTATTCCCTCCTACAGATGGCATCAATTACCCACGCCAGGCATCTTGTTAATGAATTCTGTTGGTCATAATAGGGGACCAAATGGTTGGATGTGGCTTAACACCAACGCACAGTAGTGGAAAAACAAAGTATTCATCCTACTACGAGAACAATGCCTTCCCTCCTTCCCATCATGCCTTCTTTCCTCTTTCCTTTCTTCTGTATCCACCCTGAGAGTAGGAACAGGGACCATAAAACAAAACAGCTGTTCCCTGCCTTCAGGGAGCTCAGACTTTGCAGGGCAGATAAAATATTAAAGCTAGGCTTATAGTACAGTGACACAATAGAATGGAGTAAAAGGCCCATGGGGTCACAGAAAAAGGAGTGACTGATTCTGCCTGTGTTAGAGACCAGTATATATTTTTGCATGTTTATATGGCAATGCCTAAATTTTTCAGTTACCTTAAATATGAAGGAGAATTTTAGGGCAGGGAAGGTTATTCCTGATTTCTCTGGACTAGATTGAGTGCCCTTGCTTTGTGACTTGAGAATACCTGTACTTCCACCACCCGAATGGTGATCATTTACATTGTAATTCCCTGTTAACTTGTCTGTCTGTAGTGGAAGGAACATGTCTTTCTGGCTTACTTGTGTGTCTCCAGCACCTACCACAGCACTGGCACTATTAATACGCGGTGAATAAATGAGCAGACCATCATACTTTGTCTCTATAGTAATCATAGTTCAATTTTTCTGAAAAACAATGATGCAAATTATAAAATACTCATAACTCTTGTTAAGGAGTTAGGCCGCCTTAGGCCATTTTTTGAGAAATGCAGATTATGGTGTGCCTCGCCATATTAAGGGATCAGATCACGCTGGTCAGATCAACACTGGTTGAGATCAGCCGAAAAACACAGGTTGGAAATTTCTGAGATGGTAATCAAAATGTTTGCCCTCTAAGACTCATGCAATGGTTCTCAAAGGGTGACCTTGGGCCAGCACAGCATCACCTGGGAACTTGTTGGAAATGCAGATTCTCACCTGAATCAAAAGCTTGGGGATGGGGCCCCGAAATCCCCACTTTAATAAGCACTCCAGTGAGTCTGATGCATGCACAAGTGAAAGAACCACTGAACTAAGGGTTTTGAAAGTTGTGTGTCAGCACCAGAAACCTCTCTTCACATGAATCTAAAATAGGTTAATTATTTATGTAACGTATAAATGAGCGGGGGTGTTCTGTGCATGCACAGTGCCAACTAGGGTTGGAAAATCGATTTCGAATCTTTGTGTTCTTATAATCCATAATATTATTTTTAAAATAATATGAAAATGTTACACATCTTGTTGGTTCAGCATAACTTTATTCCCAGAAATATAATAGGTTTTTGTAGTTCATTCAGTCTTACCTCTTTTGTATTATTTGTATTTTGATTCATTCCCATTTACATGGTATATAGATTTTTACCTTGATATAGAAGACATATTTGCCATTATGTTCTTTTTGCAGGTTTGTTGGACGAATCAATATCTACAGTAATAGTCTTGAGGCGGTTGCCAGGTTAGTTTGTTGTTCCTTTCATCTGTCCTTTTCGGGAGGAAGCGGGTATATTTCTCTTTAAAGCCCCTTAAAATACTCAGATACTTTTCTTTATAGAAAAGGATGTAGAGGTGAATAAACCTGGATTAACCAGCCAGCATCCCAGTAGGGGGGTGGTGTTGCAGGTGATGCTGATGGTGTCCAAAATCACAGAGCTCCAGGCCCTTCGACTGATACTCCCAAATCTGTCCTGGGCACTGTGCTTTTTGTTCTTGGTTGTGCAGTGGCAGACTATATTGGGAGTACACCTGGAGAACAGTGGCTAAGGGAGAGTAATTGAGGGATAAGGCGGTAGATAAAAAGCTGAGAGAATTACTTGGACTGAAGCAAAAGGAAAGGCTAATCATTTATAACGAAGCAATTCATATAAAAAGGGATATTTTCTTCCCTCTTCTATCATCCAGTTAATTACCTCAATTTTTCCACTTGGCCTTTATAAACCACGCTGAAAAGGAATTTAAACGCCAGGCGCCCAATGATTGCCCCAAAGGCGGGTTTACTCTCTCTAAATACGTCAGTGTATCTTTCCCACCTTGATGGCTGCTTCCCAGTCTTTTATTTGTCGCCTTTTCTGTTTCTTGCTGTCTACTGCTCTGTACTGTTCTTGCTGTCTGTGACTCAGAATCCTTTTATCTCTGTGCACCTCATTACCTCTGCGTGTTGCTGGCCACTCTTGTGCTCTGCTTCCAACTGTGCTGTGCCCTCAAGTGAGTTCAGAGGGAAAGATCTTTCAGCTCATCCTGGGGAGTAAGCATAATGATATAAGTGGAAGGATACATTTTGAACCCCTTGGAGATAGATGTGTGTTAGGGCAGAGTTGATGATGCTATATTTATTGGGCTGTTTGGATAAGCTGTGTTCATTTTTCATTTAGGTCTTTGGGACCTGAAAATCTCTTGTTGAAAGGAGCCACACTAAAAAATACCAAGAAGATATATGGTGAACACTTTTTAAGATCTCCTTATCAGAAATATGCTTTGTAAAGCCTGTGCATAAATAGTGCATGTTACAAATTGGACATTGCCGATAATTGCCACTCAGTCTAAGCCTATTTTTAGGTGTTAGGAATTTATAAGATGGGAAATAAACTAACTTTAAATATGACAAAGTATGTAGAATTAAAATTATATTATAAATGATATGTCAACTGGTGACTAGACTAAGGTTAAGAATGCCCACTTTTACAGATGGGAAAAATGGATAGACCCAAGTTGGTGGGGAGTTCGTTGGCACCTAGTTTTCATTGTCTTCTTTTATTCCTTAGGAGTTGCTGTTTACACTGGGATGGAAACCAAAATGGCTTTGAACTACCAAGGAAAATCTCAGAAGCGTTCTGCTGTTGAAAAGTGAGTGTGCACCACCATTTCTTTAGTAGCAGTCAAACTGTGATATAGTCAGTTTTCAGTAATTCCGAATAACAACCATAACAAAAAACAGCATCAATTATAATAGCAGCTACCACATTGAGCACTTTTTATGTTCCAGAATTGTGCCCAGTGATTTGTATGTCTGATTTTGTTTAATCCTCTGAGCAGCTCCATAGAGTAACTCCTATTAGCCTGTCTGCTTTACAGATGAAGAAATGGTCTCCGAGATGAGTGACTTACCGAAGCTTGTGGAGCTATTCAAGGGCAAAGTTTAGTTGAAATACAAATTTATTCCCTTTTGCTGCTGGATAGTGGTTTGGGTTCCTTTAGTTGCTTTGTGTAAGGAAGTTCAACAATGTAGATAATAGTCTCCTGCTAGAGCTTCAGGCCAATTGCTACAGCATAGACCTTGCTCTGTCGTTGCCATGGATATCCCATGTATCAGTGGCACCCTCTCCATAGCCCTACTTTCAGATTAGAAGAATCCATACTAAATTTGAGGATTTCACATTTGCTTCCCCACCCTCTACTGCAAATTCTTAGGATTTGGGGAAATGGAAACAACCTACTCTTTCTGTAAGGGTTGAGTAGGTACTGTGTATGCGTGTGTGTCTCCTGTCACTTTATAGGATCCTAATTTTTTTTTTTTAAAAGGTGTGTTAAGCTAGTCAGCCACTGCACTTTGGGGAGCATTGGTGACCAACAAACAGGTCAGGACTGGCTTTTCCACTTTACCAGCTGAGAATAAGGCTTTTGCAGTGATAACTGCAGTTCATATGTACAAGCTTGTGCTGTGGTTACACATTGTACACAAGAGAAGCTTTAGGAAACTGAACCATTGGGTGCCTGGGTGGCTCAGTTGGTTAAGGAAACTGAACCATTTAATTTATACGTGGTTGATATCTTAAATATATAGTTTTTAAATCCATAATATCTTATTTTTCAGATCTATTAATGCCTTCCTGATTGTGTATTTATTTATCTTACTGACCAAAGCTGCAGTATGCACTACTCTGAAGTATGTTTGGCAAAGTAACCCCTATAACGATGAACCTTGGTATAACCAAAAGACTCAGAAAGAGCGGGAAACTTTGAAGGTAATTGGTTTTATGCTGAAACTTTTAACTCTTGCTAAAAATTTTAACTCTAGCACTTTGTGACCAAGCCACGCTTTATTGAAATGTTGTTCAGATTATGATACTTTTTGTTAGCTTCCGTGTTTTCTCTTGGTTGTATGGTAGCCCTAAGCCATTAGCTATTTAAGAAGTTTTATAGTATTTTTTTCTTTTACTTTAGGCATCTGTGCTTATTTTTAGCTCTTTAGTTAAGACTTTTAAACAACTGAGCAAGAATCTCTGGCATGTGACTATATATGATGAGGTTGTGATATATCATGATAAGAACATAATAAATAGATTCCTACACAGAAACTTTGATCCTACATTCATATTGGGGGAGGGCAGAGAATTTAAGGAAGTGAAAAAGTGTTAAGTCAACAGGCACATTTACTGAAGTATAACGATAAAATTGAGGGTGTTTTTAAATGTTTTCACATACTGTCTTTATAGCAAGAGCAGTGCTTTCAGCATTGATATAAAAAGATAGAAAGGTAACTAGTTCTTTATTTTGTACTTGTTTGCTAGAACTGTGTATCTAATCAGCACGAACTATTTCTTTTGTTTTAGGTTTTGAAAATGTTCACTGACTTCCTGTCATTTATGGTTCTATTCAACTTTATCATTCCTGTATCCATGTATGTCACGGTAGAAATGCAGAAATTCTTGGGCTCCTTCTTCATTTCATGGGATAAGGACTTTTATGATGACGAAATTAATGAAGGAGCCCTGGTTAACACATCAGACCTTAATGAAGAGCTTGGTCAGGTTAGAATGTATTTTTACTTAAAATAAGTTAATATTTTGAAAATACCTGTTCTTGTACTCTGGCTTACCAATATATGTGACCATTTCCCATTTGGAAACGTGATTCAGATATTCCTTTATAAAGCAGGCATATAATGAAGACAAGCAATGTTTTCATAGCTGTAGCCTTAATTATTTTGCTGGCATTTTTGAGGAGTATCCCAGTTTGTATATTAAATTTGAATGTTACGGAAATTTTCTTTAAAACTCACCTGGTGATGGTGTAAGATTATGGGCTGTTGCTTTGGAACAGACACATGTAGTTAAGTCCTCATCACTGTCTGTTACCATATGGGGATAGACTATCGGGTAGTAAATAAAGCTATTTTGTAACTGGGTTTTGTTCCATAAGCAACATTGACCAGAGTTGTCCTATTGACGTTTCTTGGTACATTTCTGATCAGACGGAATACATTCCTAGCAAGCAGAGTTGTTGATTCCAGTGCAGGAATTTAAATGAAGGCAAAATGTGAGGGCATGTACTCCTCAAAATGCTTTTTGCTTTATATACCAGCACAACCCAGGCTGTGGCCTCATTTCTAACCCAGGTGCATTTGTTTTCCAATGCAGTGCAGTCTAGCTGTCATTCTTCAAATGATGACTTCATAGGTGCTTTTCTCATCAGTATTGAGAAAGTTTTTCCCTTTGTCTGAATTTACTGTGTGTCACGTAATGATCTTCACAAGCTGGGGGAATTTTTTGGCTTTCATTTAATTCTCATGATATTTAGAATGTCAAGGCTGTGGAAATGTCATTTCTATGACTGGGAGATGCAAATTCAGTTAATGGAACTGTGTGGCTGGAACAGGGCCTCACACTTGTTTTAAATGGTGCCAAGTTGCATCTACACCTCAAAACTCGCTTCCTGAATTTAGCCCCCTGCTGCCCCCGCTCTTTCTGTTCTTTACCCAGCCTTACCTAAACTGAAGTGCCATCTTAGCAACTACAGTCAAAAGGGTGAAAGGACACTCCAGATAGCATTTTTGTTGAGCCCTAACTACATGACTCCAGGATCCCAGACTGTGGAATCTGTATCCCACAGAGATACTGAGTCACTAAGGATAGAACAAGAAATGAATGAACAAATGTTTTTTTCCCCTTAGATATTGTTCCCAGAAGATTCTTTTGAAGGTGACTTCAGCTGCCACAGCTGACCTTAGTTAGCCTTTTTAAACCAGAAATTTTCATCCAGGAACAGAGCTGTCTGAATAGAACTACTCTAGTCCCAACAATAAGCATCCATCTACAGCATTGTTGCATGAAAAAAAATTGAGTTACAAGCCACCTCTGGTGAACTTTCCCTGACAGGTGATTTAGTTGAGTAAATCTGCCTGTTCTAGATCCAGTGCCTGGCTCTCTGGATTCACCTACCCAAGGATGAATGTGGCGATAGCCCCGGGTACTGCAAATAGAACAAGCCATCATGGCGCACGTGACTCCTAATGCTCCCTAGAGACAGGCAGGATCTCCAGGGCAGATGCCACTAAATGAGATTCTTTACATCTTTCAGATCCGCACCTCAGCAATGTAATCTTATTTCTATCATTCAGGCTGTACTCACACTGCCAAAAGTAAAGTAGAGCTTTGGGTAATGATCTGGTAAATTTGATCAGTGACAAGAAACTACAGTTTTCATTTCAACCACCACTTCTTTACCCTACCAAAACCTGCCTTTCTGGCTGTGATTGTCATTTAGTCAAATCACTAAGTTAATAGCCAGACCACCACTTTAATTTATATGGTGTAAAAACAACTTGCCTTCATTATCAGGTTATATGTGTGGAAACTACCTGAATGAAAATGCGAAGTCTTGAAATAGTTTCCTGGGCCATTTAGCATTCAATGGACCAGTACACACAAAATTAAGTGTAACTGGTTTCCTCCTTGATGAGTCATAATTTCAGATCTGTAGGACTTTTTATGTTATAAAAAGCAGTGTCAATTAGGTCCCATCAATACCATTGCAAATACTTGCTTAATCTCTTTTAAAACAACCACATTGAGGGGCCCCTGGGTGGCTCAGTTGGTTGAGTGGCCAACTCTTGGTCTTGGCTCAGGTCTTGATCTCGGGGTCATGGGTTTGGGCCCCGAATTGGGCTCTATGCTGGGTGTGGAGCCTACTTTAAAAAACTGACCCACACTGATATTTTAAAAATGGGAAGATATGTTTAGGACAGTGTTTGACTTGAGAAACAAAAAGAAGTAGGGGCGGCTGGGTGGCACAGTTGGTTGAGCAACTGACTCTTGGTTTTGGCTCAGGTCATGATCTCCAGGTTGTGAGATCCAGCCCCAAGTCGGGCTCTGTGCCCAGCGTCGAGTCTGCTTGAGATTCTCTCTCCCTTGCCCTCTGCCTCTCCCGCTCGTGCACTCTTTCTCCCCCCCACCTCTAAAATAAATAAATCTTTAAAAAAAAAAAAAACGGAAGTAGACTGTGCAGTTGGAAAAGAATGGAGTCTTTTATGATCAGGCATCAGTCCTTTAGGCAACCAAATGGTTTCAACCCATCTTGAAAATATTTTGGGGTAGCCTCCTGCCTTTTTTTTTTTTTTAAGATTTTATTTATTTATTTGACAGAGAGACAGCGAGAGAGGGAACACAAGCAGGGGGAGTGGGAGAGGGAGAAGCAGGC